GAATCTTGTAACCTAGTAGATTTTCAATAAATATTTGAACTAATGAATGGTTGGTTTTCTCCTCAATCTTTTATTTGTTTTTTGAAAGGGAGAGAAATTGAACCCAAGGCTTCCCACATGCTAAGCACACATCCTACCACTAAGCTATACTTGCAGTTCCCTCAGTATTTTAGCTTTCTTTTTGCTATTTAAACAGCTGATATTTTCCACATTAGTTTTTTCCTGTAACTAAGTAGAAAATACTCATAAGAGGTATTGAAAAGAAAGAGATAGGGCTGGAGAGATGGCTCAGAGGTTAAGAGCAATGACTGCTCTTCCAGAGGTCCTGAGTTCAATTCCCAGCAACCACATGGTGGCTCACAACCATCTGTAATGAGATCTGGCGCCCTCCTCTCTATATATAATAAATAAATCTTAAAAAAAAAAAAAAGAAAGAAAGCCGAATTCCTACTTTCTCTTAAAAAAAAAGAAAAGAAAAGAAAGAGATAAATCAAAATGCAAAACATGTAGCAGTTTGCTAAGGTAAGCTTTTAAATGCCTAAAGAGGGCTGGAGAGATAGCGCAGTGGTGAAGAGCACTGGCTGTTCTTGCAGAGGACCCAGATTTAGTTCCCAGTGCCCACATGGTGGCTCATAACCACCTGGAACTCCAGTTCCAGGGCATTTGGTGCCTTCTTTTGGCCCTATTGGGTACCAAGCATACATGTGTTACAAATACATGCATGCAGGCACTCAAACATATAAAGCAAATAAAAATGAATGAATAAACAAAATTTAAATGCCTGAAGAGAAGCACATTCATTTCAGCACAATGTAGAGAATTTGCACTGATGTATCAAGTATCTGTTAGTATTTATGCCTGTGTCTCATTTTATACGCACCTAATAGCAGCATTGCCTTGGTTTAAAGTAAAATCACCTTCTTCTGCAACACTGGAGCAATGATTAATTTAGACAAGATTTATTGACAGGTGCTAAAATAAATGGTGAAAGCTTATTGCAAAACATGATATAACATGATCTGAGTATCACCCACAAATTACTGAATTTCCAAGAGGTGTTTTTTGTCTTTTCTAGTGAAGAACTCTCACAAACACCATCTACTTTTGTCTAATTGGCTGTTTTTTGTTTTTTTCAGACAGGGTCTATGTAGATAGAGCTAGCTGACCTTCTACTTGGCTCCTCCTCCTGAGTGCTAAAATTAAAAGTGTGCATTACTACAACTGGCTCAAAAATACTATCTTAATGACATAGTCAAACTTAACATCTTGGGTTTTGGTTGTTCTTGTTTTGTCTTTGAGAAAGGATTTCATTATGTGGTTTTGCCTGACCTGAAACTTGCTATGTAGACCAGACTGGCCTCAAACTCACAGATATTCCTACTTCTGCCTCTTGAGTGCTGGGATTAAAAGTGTGCACCACCATGCCTGGACAAATTTAACATCTTAATAATGGGGCAAACTGCCATGTTGTGCCTTCTAAAATAATATACTGAGAAAGTTCTACTACCACTTAAGATATTTTTCCTGTCAAAAGCATTTACATTTAAAATAATGAGAAAAAACATTCAGGGTCAGCTAGATGGCTCAGCAAATAAAGGTACCTGCCACAAAGCCTGACAGAGTTTAATACCCAGAATTCACATGGGGAAAGAGGAAGTTGGCTTCTGCAAGTTGTGTGTGTGTGTGTATACACACATAAACAAAACATTTTTTAAAAAAAAATTTTAATCAACTTCAAATTGAGGGATACTGAAAATAGTTGGCCTGCTGTTCAAAAATGTTATTGTCGGGCTGGAGAGGTGGCTCAGAGGTTAAGAGCACTGGCTATTCTTCCAGAGGTCCTGAGTTCAATCCCCAGCAACCACATGGTGGCTCACAACCATCTATAATGAGATCTGGTGCCCTCTTCTGGCATGTAGATAGAACACTATATGTGTAATAAATAAATAAATCTTTGAAAAAAATGTTATTGTCTTAAGAGGCTGGAGAGATGACCTAGCAGCTAAAAACACATACTGAGTTCTGTTCACAGCACCCATGTTGAGAGGCTCATAAGCTGATCCAAACATCTTCTTCTGGACTCCATAAGCACCTGCACTCACATATGTACATACGCACACACACACACACACACACACACACACACACATATGCACATGATTAAAAACAAATAAATTGCTGGGTGGTGGTGGTACACATCTTTAATCCCAGCAATTGGAAGGCAGAGGCAGGCAGATCTCTGCGAGTTCAAGGCCAGCTTGGTCTACAAAGCGAGTTCCAGAACAGCCAAAGCTATGATGCAGAGAAATCCTGTCTTAAAAAACCAAACAAACATAAAACCTAAAAAATAAAATAAAAATAAACATTAAAAAAATTAAATGAAATGTCAGTGTCACAAAATCTGACAAGGTTGAGGAGCTATTTTGATTAAAGGAGACTAAAGAGACTCAATAAGTACATGTAATACATGCACTCAGCTGAGGACCATGAACCTAAAACAACCTCTTTACAACAATTATAAAGAGCACTGTTGGCCAGGCGGTGGTGGTGGAGGCAGAGTAAGGTGGATCTTTGTGAGTTCGAGGCCAATCTGTTCTACAGAGTGAGTTCCAGGACAGCCAGGACTGTTTCACAGAGAAACCTTGTCTCGGAGGGGGCTGGGGGGTGGGGGAACACTGTCAGAACAACTAGAGAAACTTGGATATTAGATAGCATCATTGTTGATGTTAAACAGCATCTGTTAATTGTCCTGTGCTTATAAATGAGAATGTCTTGCTTTTAGAAGACATATGCTGAAGTCTTAAGTGGTGAACTGTCAGTGTCTACAAATAACACTCAATAATTAGAAAAAAGAGACAATTCTCAAATGGTTCACACACAAAAAATAGAATAATATGTCAATATACATCAGTGCATGTATATATGGACATACATGACTGTATGTAGACAAAAAAGATTTCACAGATGTGCATACCAGCATGATGTACGAGAGAGAGAGAGAGAGAGAGAGAGAGAGAGAGAGAGAGAGAGAGGAGAGACAGGAGGAAGGGAGGCAGGGAGAGAGAAGGAGAAAGTGTGTGTGTGTTGCCAGGATATAATACCCATTGGGAAACCTAAGAGAATGGTGTGTGCACTCATTGTGGTAATCTGCAAATTTTCTCTGGTTAAAAAGTTTTCTGAGTGAAAAATAGGAAAGCTTTTAAAAGTCATTATGAACTCAGGGTTATTCAGCTGCTTATTCAGTCAAACATTTTGGATGGTTATAACAAACCTTCCTTTGAATTTTATGCTTTCACAATCTTATTTTAGCTCTTTGCTTTGCTATTCCTTGCCATCTTTCAGAGAGCCATTGTACTCTTATATGTGGGCAAATACTTCAGTAAATTCTGAATATGCATTGTAAGACTGACATTGTTTCTATGAGCAGTAGACTTCTCTTGTGGGTTTTTTTTTTTTTTAAAGATGTCTCTTATATATCTAATCAAAAGCCTAATTTTTGTTTTTAGTACAGCAGCCCTTCAATGTTTCTGGAATGTAAGCTTTATCTGCCTAAGATCATTTTCTTTTTTAAGATTTTTTTATGTGTACAAATGTTCTGCTTGAATGTATGCATGTATGTGTACCACATGCATACCTGGTGCTTGCAGAGGTCAGAAGGTGTTGGACCCCCTGGGACTGGCATTAGGGATATTTGTGAGTCAACCGCTTGGTGCTGGGACTCAAACCCAGGTCTTCTGCAAGAGCAACAAGTGTTCTAAACTGAAGAACCATCTCTCAAGCCCCTAAGATCTTTTTCTTATTGTCCTTCAATACCCCTTTGTCTTAGGTCAAGTCAGGGCACCTAGTACGGATGACAATTGTTAAAATACTGCTTTATTCTATAAAGAATACAGAAAAAATAGGTTCTGAATAACAAATAAGTGCTATGTGCAAGCCAGGCGGTGGTGGCGCACGCCTTTAATCCCAGCACTCGGGAGGCAGAGCCAGGCGGATCTCTGTGAGTTCGAGGCCAGCCTGGGCTACCAAGTGAGCTCCAGGAAAGGCGCAAAGCTACGCCGAGAAACCCTGTCTCGAAAAACCAAAAAAAAAAAAAAAAAAAAAAAAAAAAAAAAAAAGTGCTATGTGCAGTTAGTTATGAAGTAACAGTGTACAGTGTAATGAAGTAATCTGAATACACTGTGCCCTCCTGAGTGAGGTAACCCAGAATCAGAAGGACAAACATGGTATGTACTCACTCATAAGTGGATAAAGGACAGTCAGACTGCAACCCACAGAACCAGGGAGGCTATACAGCAGGGGGGACCCTAGGATGACTGTGGCTTATAATAAGTTTTGGTTTTACCCAATCACTGGGCAAGCCTTAGTGAAACATTTCACTATTAGGATAAGAATTTGTACTGTATCAAGCTGATGAAAGAATATGCTGGCCGTACTTTCAGGAGGGGAGGCTAAAATCTTTTTAGATTATGGATTAGCCTATAGAAAAATGTCTGCTGTAAATCAAACAGTGAAGGAGAATATGAATAGGATTCTCACCTACACAACTTAAGTAAAATGTAGCTCTCTGAACAGATGAAGATAGGTTTCTTCTGTATCCCAGAATCTAGTAATTTAATCAATATTTATATGGATAATTCAGCTATTATTTGGCTTAAAAGGGCTTATTGGGAAATGTTATCATTTTTACTATTTTCTACAGAGAAAATATTTTACTGTTTAAAATAACCCTGGCCTTTTGAATTATAACCTGTTTTTATTTTTTAAAAAATGCACCATGCCCATATCAAGGCTGATTATTATTGTAGTTGTTTGGAGATGAGGCTTCACAACATAGCCCAATGTGATTTTGAGTTCACCATCCTCCTGCCTTCATCTCCCAAGTGTGAGGGTTACACGCATGTGATATCACACCCAGATAAGGTTGATTATTTCTAAGTGATTTTATTCTATACTCTAACCTTTTGATAGTAATCTCTGTGAAATACAATATAAGGGCTTACGTCATAGTTGCTCCTGGATCTGCAGTCATTTGATTGGTCACAAAAACAGCAACATTATATTCTGCATCAAAAAATAAAGAAACTAAGAGAAGGCCAATAAAAATTCAAAGTTCGCCGGGCGATGGTGGTGCACGCCTTTAATCCCAGCACTCAGGAGGCAGAGCCAGGCGGATCTCTGTGAGTTCGAGGCCAGCCTGGGCTACCAAGTGAGCTCCAGGAAAGGCACAAAGCTACACAGAGAAACCCTGTCTCGAAAAAAAAAACCAAAAAAAAAAAAAAAAATTCAAAGTTCATTGTTTAGATTTCAGTTTAGGCCGGATGATGGTGGTACACACCTTTAATTCCAGCACTCAGGAGGCAGAGGAAGGTGGATCTCTGTGAGTTCCAGGCCAGCCTGGTCTAGAGTGAGTTCCAGGATAGCCAGGTCTACATAGAGAAACCCTGTCTTGAAAACCAAAAAGCAGATTTCAGTGTAGGAATCTTGTACCATGAGTTCATTTTATAAACAAGCTCTTGTAGATCAGGCTAGCCTCGAACTCAGAGATCCATCTGCCTCTGCCTCCCCAGTGCTCCTAGTAAAGGCAGGTTTGACCACAGCCCAGTTTAAAATGAACCTCAAATGGAATTTTGTTTTGTTTTTTTCAAGACAAGGTTTCTTTGTGTAGCCCTGGCTGGCCTGGAACTCACTATGTAGATTAGACTGGCCTCAGACTGTTTCTGTCTGCAAAGTGCTAGGATTAAAGACAAGTGCCACCATGCCCATGCCCATCTTCCTATTTTTCATTAATAATGAAAAACACTTCAAGTTATCATTAATGTTATAGCAGAATCAATTTTAGTTTAAATAATCATCTAAACTATGAAAGTAATTAAAAATTTTATGTTTCTGACATCCTTCTCAGCTTCTCTTCAAAATACACTCTAACAAACATAGTCAACAGATGCTATGTGACACTGCCATTTTATTTTAAACATCTACCTTCTGAGATTTTTTGGAGTCGTGACAACATCTGGGCCAATTTTTGCTGCCGCTCAGCCAATTCCCCACGGCCACTGAAATCCACTCGAAAAAGTGCCATTATTGAGTCAATGATCTGCGCAAGAGTAACATAAAACCAAACATGCATTTTAAAATAGAAGGAAGATGCCTATTTAAACAGAATAGAAAAGTGTGGTAAACAGCTCTGTCAGTGAACATTATTTAAAAGCTTGTACCAATAGTTTGAAAATGCCAGCTTCTTCGTGAAACTTGGCTGCAACATAATCAAGTAGCTCCATCTGATGTTCACCTGATGGGAAACACAGAAAATGTTACAAAAGCCAGAAGCAGAGGCTAAGCTCATGTATGTGTTTTTGGGAGACAGGCAGATAGAGCTCTTCTTTCCTCCCAACTATACTTTACTAAGTGAAGACTGCATATTCTGCTTGAACATATGTGGCAAATGGTACTTTAGCAAAAAGAATGTTGCTCTAGCTGGTCAGTGGTGGTGCACACCTTTAATCCCAGCACTTGTGAGGCAGAGGCAGGCAGATCTCTGTGAGTTCGAGGTCAGCCTGATCTACAGAACCAGTTCCAGGACAGCCAGGGCTACACAGAGAAACCCTGTCTAGAAAAACAAAACAAACAAACAAAAAAACAAAACAAAAGAATGTTGCTCTGGGTGACTTTAGTTCACTGGTAAAACACATGCCTAGAGTATGTGAAAGCTGGGGTCAAGCCCAGCACCACAGGGGAAAATACCTGACGGTTACTCTACATTTCAGAGACAACAAATAATGAATTTGAAGACATTTGAGTGCCTTGAAAACTCAACAGATGATAACATTTATGGACTAATTTGCAGAAAATTTAAAACAAGGAAAACGAGTGAAAATATTGTATCATCAAATAGTAAATTAGTGTTGTCAACCTTCCCATAACTCAAGTTTAAAGTGCAACTGCACAGGGCTCTTACTAGTATAGGCACGAGCGTAGAGTACATTGTCCAGTACTGCATCGTGGTCTACGTTGAAGCGATCAGCAATGTCACGAAGGCGATCTGGACGGCTGGAGTGTGCCAAGATTAAGGATCTAATAAACCAATTCCAAAGAAAGTCTAGATAGCTATCAAAGGTAACCCTGTGAGCGAGTAAAACAGCTGAGACGTAGCAGTGCGTCCAGAGGCACTCAGATGCCAGTCCATTCCTTAAGGACTGCCAGAGCCTCCTTTCTCTAAGTGCTTCAAAACACCTTAGGGGACAGTGAGAGGTCACAGAGAACGGGAAAGCAGAAATGAAATATCAAGTTTTAAAATAAGTTTAGAAGCTGGTTGTGATGTCCTCATTTTATAAGGACACCGACAAAGTTTTAGCAAATAACTTAGATATTAAATACAGCAGAACAGTTAGAGAGAAAAACTAGAAACTAAGGTTTGTGATTCTCTTTTGTTCACAGTGCTATAAAAATAGGCATATTCTGGAACACTAATGTCACTGAGTTATAATTCGTCACTTCAAATTCTTCATTGGTTCAAAATGCAATAGTTTAATAGTCCACTAATAATGTGTGGCAAAAAAAATATAAATTTGATGACATGAAGTAAAGGGTCAAAAAGTAACCTCAAGGGTCTAAAAGGAACCTGATTTGATTACACAGGTTTTTGTTTTTGTCTTTTATACACCCTCTAAAGAAGTCTGTAGCTTTCTGAAATTAGTAAATTCCTGTATACCCACAAAGATACCATGGAAGATGCTAATAATCACTAACCAGTAAACTACAGAGAGTAATCAACACTTTATTCTCTGGTCTGTAGTGACTCTAACAGTGTTGCAAGTGAAATGAAGAAACAAAAAATGAATGTCTCTAGTTTCATTTCCCTTCTGTTTGCATTGTTTATAAAACATCAACTATTGCCAGGCGGTGGTGGTGCATGCCTTTAACCCTAGCACTTAGGAGGCAGAGGCAGACAGATCTCTGTGAGTTCGAGGCCAGCCTGGTCTACAGAGGGAGTTCCAGGACAGCCAAGGCTACATAGAGCAACCCTGTATCAAAAAATCATAAATAAATAGATAGATAGAAGACAGACAAAATAAAATTAAGCTGGGTGGTGATGGTGCACACTTTTAATCCTAGCGCTCGGGAGGCAGAAACAGGTGGATTTCTGAGTTCAAGGAACAGTCTGGTCTACACACTGAGTTTCAGGACAGCCAGAGTTATGCAGAGAAACCCTGTTTCGAAAAACAAAAACAAAACAAAACAAACAAACAAAAAAAACAAATCCCAAAACAAACAAAAGAGTTGAGCTTATACTAAGGGGAAATACAAATCAATCTATAAGTATTTACTGATTACCACATAGCACTGACCCGTTATCAGTGCAAAGAAAGCATTGTAGAAAACAAAGAGTAATAAGAATCTATGTTCTATGTAAGTTTAAAACTTACAAAATATAAATGTAAGAAGAAAAATATTAAAGACAGTAGTATAGGTTGAGGGACCCCAAGAGAATAACATGGGAGATTTTCCTCCTGAATTTCCCTTTGCTCTCAACTATTTTCTTCCTGACTTGATAAAATCCAGACCGCTAATCTGCAAGAACCACTCCTCCCTCTGTGAGGAGCACCCTTCGCCAATTCTCTCTGAACTCACTCAACTCCAGCTGAGCCCTTCTTGCTGCAGCTCTAAACATTCCACCCTCCTTTCCCAAGTTAGAAGGTTCTTTCAGACTTTTCATGACCAGATTCCTCAGCAAACTGCAAATAGTTTTTGGCTTATTTTTCTTCCACAGGAATATTTTTGATAATAAATTTTACAATAGCTCAGGAATTACAAGATTTTCTGAATTGGATAATTACAGAAAATCAGAAAGAGCAGGCCTTGGTATCTATGAGAGGCTTAACAATTTGTATGATTCAGTAAGACGATGACATGGGGATAGAGAAAGCAAATCCCTTGTAGGATGAAAAGCAACATGTGGATTTCTCTATGACCAGCCAAGCCGACAGTCAAAAGAGAGAGTAAAGCAAAAGGCATTTCAGACATGTCAGGTCTGGGTTTACCACCTTGGTCACCTTCCTGAAAGCAGTGCTTAAGGTGCTTCAGCAAAACAAAAGCAAGATGCTCTGAGGATGGAAGAGGCCTTGATGACAACACAAAAACCTTCATAGCCTAAAGAATGTTAATGTAATATTTTTCAATTTCTAAATGTTTAGAAAAACAAAGCATGTTTCTCAGATGGGATTAGACACTCTCATCTCTTTGCCTCTCATTGTGACAATGCTGAGAAATAAACCTGGTGAAGCAGGCTGGGCTTCAGCGTGAATAGCTTTAATGAAGTTGTGCAGGTCTGGCATCTTCTGAACCTGGCACCTCCTCAATCTCTGTGTAAATCAATTATACATTGCCTCCCTCCCTTGCTGTTTCCATCACCCCAGACTCCACTGCAAATGTTCCCTGAAACTAATTCCCAACTCTAGTAATCCTTCTCATCTGCTCTTTTCTTCACACTTCAAATTTGCTTGCCTTTCACAACCAGACTTCCTCCTACTTTGATTGTACATTCTTCATTTCAGTCCTCTTCATAAGTACAAGCACACATCAAAGTTGTAAGTTATCTCTACCCTTTCTTTAGTTAATCATCCACATCTCTGACTCCACCCTTTCCTCAGAATTTCCCACTGTCATCTGTACATCCTCCTGCTCCTCATGTTCAACACACTACCATGCAACAACAGTTGTCCTCAGCACCATTCTGCTCTCTGCCTAGATGAGACTCAAGGTGGCCTCTCAAACCACTCTCCTTTGTCTGCAGCTGCCCCTGCTAATGCTTCCTGTCCTTTTCTTTTCTTTTTCTTCATTTGTTTGCTTGTTTTTTGAGACAGGGTTTCTCTATGTAACAGCCCCAACTGCCCTGGAACTTACTATGTACCAGTTTGGCCTCGAACTCACAGAGATCCACCTGTCTCTGCCTTGAGTGCTGGGATTAAAGGCGTGCACCGTGCCCAGCTTTTTATTTTTTTGGTTTTTCAAGACAGGGTTTCTCTATTGTAGTTTTGGTGGCTGTCCTGGACCTTGCTCTGTAGACAAGGCTGGCCTCAAACTCACAGAGATCAGCCTGGTTCTGCCTCCTGAGCCCTGGTATTAAAGGCATGTGCCACCGCTGCCCAGCTTCTTTTTGTTTTTAATTGCTTCCCATCTAGATAACATCCCCATTTTTTTTAGATTTTTTGAAAAAATATCTAATTGATTTCAAAGTCCTTCATGTCTTTGACCCAAATCACCTTTCTGGCTGTGTATTCTGGAATACTTTTATATCAATTAAACTGCCATACCCTCTGTGACACAAACAGCTCTGACCCTTTCCTTCTGTATATTTAAGCTCTTCAAGTCTTAAGGCAAAATCTTTGGATATGAAGCTTTAAAAATGATTACGATGCCGGGCGGTGGTGGCGCACGCCTTTAATCCCAGCACTTGGGAGGCAGAGGCAGGCGGATCTCTGTGAGTTCGAGGCCAACCTGGGCTACCAAGTG